AGCACGATATGAGCACTTGTGACCGGCAGGATCCTACATCCTAAACAGATCGCACGATCTGCCTCTCATCAGAAAAGAGTGTAAAGAAACTGAATGAAGAAGACTTTCTCAGAATTTGGGGGGAGTTTGGGGGGAGAATTCAAGGAAACTCTCCCTGATAAAGGGGCCCAAGTGCTTGGAGAAACCTGGTCAACAACAAAGCAGATAGCAAATGGCCAACATGCAAGAATGAGGAGACATGAGATTGTTCAAGAGTCATACGGCTGGCGCAGCCCCCTGAAATACTGCAACAGAAGGAAAAGACCGATAGTTATACTAAAGAGGGCGGAGTGATGCAGTAGGGTGTTTGATTCCCCTATCTCGCGCCTTGTGGCTAAGCATAACCCCTCCAGCTGGCATGGGGGACGCATGTCCGGAAGGCTAAAACAAACCCGACAACGCGCTTGACTACCTTGTGGACCAATATAGATGGACTGGACTGGGAAATTTTTGCCACTGGAATGCAGCCACCCAGTCATCCAAGGAGGAGTTGAAGCTCAGAGAACTTTGTGAAATGAGAAATGGTCCACTGTAACAAGCTCGTTAAACATTTCTTCAACATAGCACCAGTCCCAGATGCCGATAATGTTGTTCAAGGATACTAAATACAAATCACCAACATCTGACGAACCAGATTCGCGACATCCCCAAGCACGAAGGAACAAGAAAGACAAAAAAATGGAACTTTCTCGCCACTGTCATTTCTAGCGATATTTCTTATCCTTGTTCGGTTCATTCCCCCTTTTCACCAGTGTAATATGCCCAATATCCATCTGCAGCTCAGAGTCACCTACCAAACCCGGTAGTTTCCACAGTGCCTGGCATTCCTGGAACTCCGAAGCGCACGCAAAATCGGGCTCGTCTTTGATCTCTTGCGCAAAATCCGCTCCAAATCGGAACATACTATACCCATCCAACGTATCAGACCATCGGCAACGAAACCCATACACGCAGCCAAATACCACAGAGCCTACGGTCCAGATGGCGAACAAGACTCCCACATAGATGGGCGGGATGACACCATGACCCATAACGGTGCTGGCTCGCGAGCTGGTTGTATTGGGTAATATATACGCAGATTCAAAGGAGTAGCCGCTGTCGTACATTAATTCCAGGGCGTCCCAGGCATGCGCGAGCATGATTGACCGGTAAAGGGTCTCTGCCTGGATGTAACTTGGGAAGTATAACCCGTGGGTGAGACTTAGGGTTATAGGCGAGTTTGTGGATGTCAGAATCTCGGTAAATTTGCCAGCAATTGCGTCGCCGATTTGGCCAAATGCCCATTGATCCCCGCTCTCGTGGCTGTCAACCCACTGGGGGGCACTCTCAGTGAATGAGCGGAATGAGCCTTGCCAGTCGACATCAGCATATCCAAGCTTAGAGTCGCGAATACAACGAACACCTATGGGAGGGGCAATGTGGGTTAAAGCCGTAGCTTGGTACACTGGATCTGAAGAGACCGTTCCATTTTCGTCGGGTTGGTTGCCGTAGAAGGTTTGGTTGAAGTAGAAGGTACCGTTTTCTGCCTGAAAGTATGGACCGTTAACATCGGCCATGGGAAAATCAATCGTCTTGCTGAAATTGAGTTGTTCTCCCAAAAGGCTAAATCCCATATCTCTATGTGCCTGCCAGAGCGCGTATTCAAAAAGGGCTGGCATAGGCTTAGGAGCAGCCCAGCTGGCGTGCCCGTATACTCCTGAAAGGTTGAAACCGATCTGAGCATGAGCTACCAGGTTCGCATTCTGATTAGCAGCAACAAGTATCCTGTCGCTCAAAATGGAAGAATTGAGATTTAGCGTTACCAGAGAACTACTTTCATTAAAGTTGGCAGGTGGCCTTTGGCTAAGGATTTTGAATTCAGAGAACGACTTGACAATGGAGCAGTTGCACCCTATGAGTAAACCCCACACTGTCCCATTTAT